TAATAATCTGGCACTGCGTGTCCGGTCACCGCATGACCATGCAGCTTCTGTTAAGCCAGATAGAGTGGAGCTAAATAAGCACAGCACGGGCCGGGCATAAGGTGAGATGGTGTGGTGGAGGATGACTTGGGGGTTGAGTGGACTCGCCAACAATTGGTACTCGTGGTATCAAAATAGATACGCGGACAATACATTTCCACCAGATATGTCTCCCCATGTATAAAATAAAAGTTTGTTTTCCATAACACAACGGCCCCACGGCCTTCTGGGAGTGCACAATTTCAGCAGCATTGATTTAGTACAAAGCAAGCTCTGGACTGGATTCCACAACCGTGTCTCATCAGCAGCGTAAGGCTTTCGTGAATCAATCGCCAAGCACCTTCGCCTATTACGTCTGGCACTTCACCAGCTTCGGGATCAACGCAGAACGATGTAAAAAATTCTCAAAATAATCATTAGCGTTCGTTCGTTTCTCATTCCGCTTGTCCTAGCGAGGGTCGCGGTGGCGGCAGCGTGTTGAGTAGTGGCGGTCCACACCTCCCTTTGCCTGGCGACAGACTCCAGCACTACTACACTACACTATACACTACACTATACACTACACTATACACTACACTATACACTACTATACACTACTACACTATACACTACTATACACTACACTATACACTACACTATACACTACACTATACATTACTACACTATACACTACTACACTATACACTACTATACACTACACTATACACTACCATATACTACTACACTATACACTATTATACACTACACTATACACTACACGATACACTACTATACACTACACTATACACTACACGACACACTACTATACACTACACTATACACTACAATATATACTACTATACACTACTACACTATACACTACTACACTATATACTACTATACACTACACTATACACTACTATACACTACTACCCTATACACTACTATACACTACACTATACACTACACGATACACTACTATACACTACACTATACACTACACTATACACTACTATACACTACTACACTATACACTACTACACTATACACTACTACACTATATACTACTATACACTACACTATACACTACTACACTAACACTGCACCAGCGTGTTGAGTAGTGGCGGTCCACACTTCCCTCTCCCTGGCGACAGACTCCAGCACTACTATACACTACACTATACAATACACTATACACTACACTATACACTACTACACTATACACTACTACACTATACACTACTACACTATACACTACTACACTATACACTACTACACTATACACTACTACACTACACTATACACTACACTACTACACTATACACTACACTATACACTACTACACTATACACTACCATACACTACACCATACACTACACTATACATCACCATACACTACACTATACACTACTACACTATACACTACTATACACTACACTATACACTACACTATACACTACTATACACTACACGATACACTACTATACACTATGCACTACTATACACTACCCTATACATTACCATACCATACACTATGCACTACTATACACTACACATTACCATACCCTACACTATACACTACTATGCACTCCATAATAGTTTTTTGGGATGAGATCGCGTAAATATATAAATGTGTCATTAAAACCCGCCACCACCCGACACAGCCAACTAGTAAGGGTTGTCACGTAAACAGAACGTGGCCAATTCGACACTAGTACAGCACTAGTGTATACTGTAGCAGTGTAGTGTATAGTATAGTAGTGTATAATCGTGTAGTGTATAGTGTAGTGTACAGTAGTGTAGTGTATAGTGTAGTGTATAGCAGTGTATAGTGTAATAGTGTAGTGTATAGTGTAGTGTATAGTATAGTAGTGTATAATCGTGTAGTGTATAGTGTAGTGTACAGTAGTGTAGTGTATAGTGTAGTGTATAGTAGTGTATAGTGTAATAGTGTAGTGTATAGTATAGTGTACAGTAGTGTAGTGTATAGTGTAGTGTATAGCAGTGTATAGTGTAATAGTGTAGTGTATAGTGTAGTGTACTAGTACATCACTAACCGGTGTGCTGGAGAGCCAAGCCACAACGTTTACAATCTGAGTACGACGTTTCGCCAGTAATTGCAACCAGCTTCATCAGGCGACAGCCAGATTTGTGGAGAAGTCTTACTGTCTCGTTCCTTAATATAGAGGCGTAGATGCGGCGACCACGCTTCTGCGCTCTTGCGCGAAGTCAGTCAGTGACCACAAGTTACTAACACAAGTTACTGACTGGTGAATGGAGATTGCTATATGCCAGTGCGTGTGCGTGGTGTTTGGCCACCCACCCTCTCGCGCGCCGTGCCGATCTTCAAACGTGCTACACCGCGAACAGCACTTGCCCCAGCAGTCTGTTAAGGCTATACGGGGGATCTTTGTCTTTGTACGCCTGCAGCACTTATCGCGAGGCTCTACGAGACCATGCGACCCGAGTTCGATTTCCGATCGCGGCGAATAACAGTGGCGAATATTTGAAACGGTCCTGTGCCTCCCCTAGGTCGACTCAGCCTTAAATGAGTACCTGGTGCGGTGTATAAATCACCACTGGGGAGACAAAGGCGGCCGGGCGTGGTGCTTGTCAACCACGCCCTCGTGTGCCGTGCCGGCCTTCACAGGTGCTACTCGCTAACAGCACTTGCCCCAACAGTCTGTTACAGGCTGTACGGGGGATCTTTGTCTTTGTACTGCACTCGCATGCCCAGCCAACCGCGTTCGATTCCTACCCACGGTTATCCTCAGTCGTCCAGTCCAATCCGAATGTATCCGGTCGCCCCCTAGGTCGCCTGAGCCTTCAATAAGTACCTGGGGGGTCACTGTGCGCAATAACATTAGAGTACTAATAACATTAGAGTACTAATAACATTACAGTACTATGGAGACAAAGGCGGCCGGGGGGGGGGAGGGGTGCTTGCTGGACACAGCAGCCCTCATGTGCAGTGACTTTGCTGCCCTTAATAGGAGCTCGCTAACAACGGTTACCCCAGCACGGTCCTGCATGGCCTATACGGGTTAGGGGGGAATCTCGCTCTGTATGCGCGCGCATACCCCGCTACCTGTGCGTGCCCTTGTGTGAGTGTCCTTGAGTGAGGAAGGCGGGGAGGAGCGGTGGCACAACGGTTAGTGCCGCTGCGGCCACCAACGCCGGTGAACCGGTCCTGGGTCTCCCCTAGGTCGACTCAGCCTCAACTGAGCACCTGGTGCGGTGCGTAAAAACATCGCTACTGGGGAGACAAAGGCGGCCGGACGTGGTGCTGGCCACCCACCCCCTCGTGTGCCGTGCGGGCATTCATGGGTGCTGCTACTCGCTAACAGCACTTGCCCCAACAGTCTGTTAAGGCTATACGGGGTGGGATCTTTGTCTTTGTGTCCATGAGTGTGGAGGGGGGTGGAGGAGCGGTGGTACAGCGGTTAGCGCGCTACGCTACGAACCGGGCGGTCCGAGTTCGATTCCCACTCGCGGCCACCAACACCAGTGACGACTCAGCCTCAAAATGAGTACCTGGTGCGGTGTGAAAACATCGCCACTCGGGAGACAAAGGTGGCCGGGCCTGGGTGCTGGCAACCCACCCCCTCGTGTGCCGTGCCGACCTTCAATAGGTGCTACTCGCTAACAGCACTTGCCCAAACAGTCTGTTGAAGGCTATACGGGGATTTTTTGTATGCATGGTACGTGTGCAAACACGTCTGTTGTATGTGTCCAGGCATGCATGTTAACGTGTGTGCCTGTAATTTACATGTGTGCCCATATGTGCTGCTTCGAACCCGTTAGATTCCAGCTCACGACCAATCACAGTGGCGAATATTTGAACCGGTCCTGGACCTCCCCAAGGTCGACTCAGCCCTAAGCACTGGGAAGACAAAGGCGGCCGGCCGGTCGTGGTACTGACCAACCCAGGCCGCCCTCGCGTGCCGTGCCGGCCTTCATAGGTGCTCGCTAATATAACTTGACCCAGTCAGTTGAAGGCTATTCGGGGGACCTTTGTCTGTGTACATACACTACGTGTTGGCGCATGTATTCCTTTATAGAGTTACATGCAGTGTACATCAATGCGGTGTTCGTGCACGCATTTTGGTCTGTGTGTGCCTATCAATGTGTCCACGTATTCCGCGACCGTGTACGTGTGTGCGTCTGTGTGTCTACGTTTCCACGTGCGTCCATGCATGTCGATGTTCGTGCATGTGTGTCCATACGCCAATGTCTATGTTTCTACGTCTGGCTAAGTGCTGCCGTGTGCGAAACGCGTGTCTGTATATTGATGCTCGTTTACCTGTACAATATTGGTGCGTGCATGTACACACGTACGTACGCATACGCATGTCTGTGTTTATACATTTACACGTGTATATATGCGTATGCATTTCTAAATATGTCGATGTGTACAGTATATACATCTCTACGTGTCTGTATACGTCTCGACAGTAAATACATTTCATATGCGTGTCTACATTTCGATGTGTCTACGTGTATACTGATTTGTTTGCCCATATACGCACGCATATCTACGTGTCTGTATATGCCTACGTGTGTACACATTCCAATGTGTATATGCGTGTGTGTGTATGTCTGTGTGCACACGCATATCTACGTGTCTGTATATGCCTACGTGTGTACACATTCCAATGTGTATATACGTGTGTGTGTATGTCTGTGTGCACACGCATATCTACGTGTCTGTATATGCCTACGTGTGTACACATTCCAATGTGTATATGCATGTGTGTGTGTATATGTCTGTTCTGCACACGCATAAATATACGTGCTTGTATATGCCTACGTGTGTGTACACAATGTGTATATGCATGTGTGCCTGTGTGCACACGCATATCTACGTGTCTGTATATGCCTACGTGTGTACACATCCCAATGTGTGTGTGTGTGTGTACACGCCTATCCACGCGGCTTGTCTTGCGTGCAAGCGTCGTGCGTGTGCGTCGTGCGATTCTCACCAACACCACCGACGTGCCGAGCAGCATGAAAATCATCGTAACGGGAGCGAGATTCGGCATCCGTGATTGGGACGACGCTGGCGCTTACAGTGGAGGAAGGGGGGTGGGTGGTGATGGGGGAGGGAGAAGGGGGGGGTGGGGGGGATGGCGAGGTGATGTTGTGATGGGGGCCGATGGGATGACAGGGAGGGGGGAAGGTGATGGGGGGGGGGGGGGAGGTGAGCTGATGTAGCTGGATGAGGAAAGCTGTATGGTGGTGGGTTCGGGAAGAGGATGACTTAAAAGGGTAGGGGTATGGATCACGGTCTTGTTACTCCTACAGCAGCAGACTCCGCTCTTTGACGCATCCTCTACCAATTCTTCCGCCACCGCTCCTCGCCTTTCTTAATCCTCCTCGCCTTTTAGTTCCTCTCTCTCTCTCTTACAAAACGGGGCCTCTGGCGTTCCAATCAGGAAATCCCGAGAGTCGGTTTCCACTTGGTTCGGGATCAGCTCCGCGCGGAACAGCCGAAAGGGTCCTTATTATTATTCCAAGGAGAACTTGGCGGTCGCCGATTTTTGCACATTGTGCTTTTCCCCTCTCTCTCACTCTCGAAGCCGGCACTAACTATCGAAGACTGACGCCAAGAATGAGTAACACCACCACCACCACCACCGCCGCCACTGCTGCAATCGCCCTCGTGCTGCCGTTATACGTCATCTATCCCGCCGTCTTCGTCGCCCCCATCGAGAATAAGTCGACCGCTTTTCATCGCCAGCCAAAATAAACGACGTTCGATTTCAGCACCACGGACAGCGGCCGCTGCAGCCGTCTCCATTAGGCGCTCTCCCCTCGGCCAGAGAGAGCGCGCGGCTCCCTCTCGCCCTCTCTCCGGGTGAAACACCGAGAGTCCCCAACCCCCCCCACCTCTCCTGCCTCCCCCCTCCGCCTCTCTCTCTCTCCCCGCCTCACGCTCTCAGCTCCCCGCGTTTCCCTCCCCTCACCACGGCGGTGTAACGAAGTCTCTCCCCCGGTTTTCTCGTCCTCGTCGCGTACCTCTGCCTTTCTCCTCCCATCTCCTTACGGCATTGAGGCGCCTCTCGCTCGCTCTCTGCGCTCTCTGCACTCTCTCTGCGCGCTCCTCCACCCCTTTCTCCGCTCCCCTCTCTCCTCTCTCTTTGCGCTCTCTCCGCTCTCTCCGCTCTCTCTCTGCTCTCACCGGAGCTGTCTCGTCCCCTCGTTCACGCCGCCGTAACCGCCCACCAAGAATACACCGGTTTAATTAAGGCTGCCGAATTTGCGTTGCATTTTGCAGTCCTCTTTCACGCCTCGCGAAAAAAAAAATGCTACATTAATAAACGTTACGTGTTCGTTCATATAATATGTACTGAGCGTATCGTATTAATAATACAATGCTGCTGTAACGAACGCTAAAAGATCCCCGCCGTCTACTCGGGAGTGGAACTGCTCACCGACACGCGATATCGCCGGCAGACAAAAAAAACACACTCGATACCCGCACAGACTCCTAAACGCACATGACCTCGAAACCGCAATTGTGCTCGGACACAGTACTGCAGTAGATACTGCATTAACACGAACGCACGTGCCGTATACAATTGCCGCTTGCAACATCGAGGGGGGGGGGCATCCAGAACTAACGAGCGATGCATGCCTGTGCGGCTGTGCACCGCGACACTGCACTGATGTCACACGTTTGGCTTTCGCTACGCCGCAACGTGCACATCAATTGGTTGGGGATGACGGTGGAGAGGGGGGGGGATGATGGTGGTGATGGTGGTGCCGAGGTGAGGTGAAGGTGGGGGGGGGGGGACGTGGGGTTAGGAATGGGATTGGGGGAGCGTGGGAGTGGGAATGGTGCGGGCGGCATGGAGATGGTAATGTTTAAGATTGTGGTGAACGCAATAAGCTAATGTAGGAACCTCCGTTATATATAATAAACAAAACAGCTCCCATCTTGTATACAAATAAATAATCAGTATACGATGCCAATTATATACCCAGTAGAGACTCGTTGAGTCTGAGGACCTTTCAGTAACTGGGGGTGGTTGGCGTTCACTTTCTCCACTTATGACTTGTGAAAGAAATCGTACCACCGTTCCGTTTCTCCGTGTAAAAAAAGGTGTTAGTCAATCGCCCCTAATGCCCCTCCTAGACTTATATTCAACCAGCGGTGTTTATTTAAACAAGCCCTCCAGACTGGTTTCAACTTGCAGGGTGTTATCAGCAGTCAGAGTTTGCTGAAGCTGACGTTACTGGTAAGAGCACTATTTATAAAGCACGGGGGGGTTCCTGTCAGCGTAAAACAAACTAACATTTCGCAATATATACGAAACAAAAAAAACTCATTTACTTTAGTGCTGCATTCTGGGACATTAAAATACATAAATTGACTTGTCACGTGCAAGGAAATTATAGCACCAAGAGAAAACCCACACATGCGAGGGGATGTTATTCAAATCTCTGCACCGATCGATTCAATCCACAGACAAACACAAGTGTGCGGGTTGGACCCACTGATGTCCTGCCATGTCCTGGCCAACGCGTGGAGCTGTACCTACAACACCTGGCACACCCTAGTGGTGGCGAGATGTTAAATACCTCTTCCTGGTATACAGAAGGATCGTGGGTTCGATCCCGCCTGTTGTATATTTGGAGTTGGCGTGTTCTCCCTATGGTCGCGTGGATTTTTTCTCCGGCTCCTACGGTTTTTCGCTCCACATTTAGAATCAATATCGCGCGTTTAAGAGTATTAGCTTGCCGTACATTTCCACGTGATGATAAACCACTTCATAATAATTCATAAACCACTTCGTTGAGCTATCATTTGTGGCCAGGTCGCTTTTGAAAAATAGCTCTATAGCTCAGTGGGCCTTACCTGGTAAAATGAAAATAGTTTAGTTTCTCATATAGCACTAAGCTCAACCCTGCTCATATTCCAATGTGATACTAAAATCGAGGTCATAAGGCTACTGTGCAGTTGTAGTCAGTATATCGGGTTAATAATCGTTAAGAATATACGGCTGGTGCCCGTCGTGGGTATGTGGAATTTCCACCTCAGGCTCACAGGCGCCAATGGAGATGACTGCCACCCAATTACTCGTTTCATTTCTCAACTGATCACTTTGTACAAAGTCACCAGTGCCGTGGTCTTAATTGATGGGTCCGCTCCGTAGGAATGTGGAATTTCCATAATGTGAGAAACGCGAAGACACCAAGGGGGGATATGATCACGACCCCACTGCACATTTGAGCAGAAACTTTCACCATTTTCTGTTTACACGTAGAGAGACCAACACTGCATCGCTACATTTTTAAACAAAATCAGATCTTTGAATTACAGGTCACATTGTACCACGTGATTTATTAACTAGGTGGGGGCCTATTGAGATGCGTTATATATCGATTGCAAAAGCGATCTGGTTGAGTTGCTATGTTGCAAGAGCGGCCGGCTCGCAGTTGGAAGGATTGCGAGTTCAACTCCATAGCAGGGATCGAACTGGCCCTACCATCCTTAGGGGTGACATTATTCACTGATACTGCGTTGGCAGTGGTGCGTAAAGCACGAAACTCTAAATAACTCAAACGCATTGTTGATAACACTGCGTGGCCTTTAAAAGGAAACAAACGTATATAATGCAGGCGAGATTTCGGCCCTTCTTGATAGCACATTCTGCATCGGATATAAAAGTATAAATGTGCTGTTATTTCCCATTCTCTCCCTCTTCCCTCTCGCTCGCACCTCCATTCCTTGCCGTCCCTCCCCTACCCTTTCGTGATCTCCAAGTACCCCTCTATAGCGGTCACCCATTCTTCAATCCATGCAGCACGCCCCTGCCATCTAAATCGTTCTATTCTGTCACCATTTTTTACTACGTTAAGCTGCCAGATAAGTTAAAGGTCATTGCTCTAAACATCGCCTATTGTATATTGTGTTTTTCTTCTTTTGGTAAGACCACGCACACAGTGTTAATGACGAATGTGTTGAATATATTTTTTCATATTCTTATGGGGAATATAAAATGAGTGCAGTCATCTCTCGATTATCCGGGATAATAGGGGGGGAAAGGTGGCCCGGCCAAAAACGAAAACATGGATAAATGCACAACAAATTAAACTTATACTATGAAATCATAGTTATTGTTTACTTACATAGAATGGGGGGGGGGGGGGGTGAAGACGTAGATTCCATCTGTTTTTATCCTATCTCAAAAGTAGTCGCTTTAACTCGCTGACATGTTTACGGTCATGCAGGCCCTGGTGACGGTCCCGCGACAGATGAGAATCAGCTAATACACCAGACTCACTCCACAACCGGGGTAACCCACCCTGGCATAGACAACCGAGAGTTAACGGCGCCACTTTTGTGGGGGGATGGGGGGGGGGGTGAGGGGAATGAACAGTCATCGTTTCCTTACGGAGAATAGCTTTGTCCCAGCGTGGGAACGAGGAATTAAAATCGCAGGGTCTCAGAATCGCCAGGAGAGACAAGGCACTGCCCGAAACACTCGGCTATTAGGGTACATGGTTTGGCGTTACGCAAGTCACAGCCCTCCGACGTGTTACGGGCTGCGTCGATGATACACGACGTAAACAACATACACATCGGTCACAATTCACACGTGTTCATATATTTGTTTGAACACTGCAGTTTTATACCCCACGCAGATTTGCGCACGCGCCACACGAGCCTACAGTGAGGGAAACAAGTATTTAATCCCCTGCTGATTTTGTACGTTTGCCCACTGACAAATAGATTATCAGTCTGTAATTTTAATTGGAGGTTTATTTGAACAGTGAGAGACAGAATAACAACAAAATCCAGAAAAACGCATGTCAAAAATGTTATAAATTGATTTGCATTTTAATTAGGGAAATAAGTATTTGACCCCCTCTCAATCAGAAAGATTTCTGGCTCCCAGGTGTCTTTTATACAGGTAACGAGCTGAGATAAGGAGCACACTCTTAAAGGGAGTGCTCCTAATCTCAGCTTGTTACCTTATAAAAGACACCTGTCCACAGAAGCAATCAATCAATCCGATTCCAAACTCTCCACCATGGCCAAGACCAAAGAGCTCTCCAAGGATGTCAGAGACAAGATTGTAGACCTACACAAGGCTGGAATGGGCTACAAGACCATTGCCAAGCAGCTTGGTGAGAAGGTGACAACAGTTGGTGCGATTATTCGCAAATGGAAGAAACACAAAATAACTGAAATCCTGCAGCGCCCGCAAGGTCCCCCTGCTCAAGAAAGCACATATACATGCCCGTCTGAAGTTTGCCAATGAACATCTGAATGATTCAGAGGACAACTGGGTGAAAGTGTTGTGGTCAGATGAGACCAAAATGGAGCTCTTTGGAATCAACTCAACTCGCCGTGTTTGGAGGAGGAGGAATGCTGCCTATGACCCCAAGAACACCATCCCCACCGTCAAACATGGAGGTGGAAATATTATGCTTTGGGGGTGTTTTTCTAAGGGGACGGGACAACTTCACCGCATCAAAGGGACGATGGACGGGGCCATGTACCGTCAAATCTTGGGTGAGAACCTCCTTCCCTCAGCCAGGGCATTGAAAATGGGTCGTGGATGGGTTTTCCAGCATGACAATGACCCAAAACACACGGCCAAGGCAACAAAGGAGTGGCTCAAGAAGAAGCACATTAAGGTCCTGGAGTGGCCTAGCCAGTCTCCAGACCTTAATCCCATAGAAAATCTGTGGAGGGAGCTGAAGGTTCGAGTTGCCAAACGTCAGCCTCGAAACATTAATGACTTGGAGAAGATCTGCAAAGAGGAGTGGGATAAAATCCCTCCTGAGATGTGTGCAAACCTGATGGCCAACTACAAGAAACGTCTGACCTCTGTGATTGCCAACAAGGGTTTTGCCACCAAGTACTAAGTCATGTTTTGCAGAG